CGTTCGGGCAGACAGGGGACGGGGGGGCACTCGTGCAGTCCGGGAGGCTTTCCAGGCGACCCCCGGCCGTCAGATAAGCCACCGGCACGCCACCACTGCTTCACCTAACGCGCCTGACCCCGAGACCTTGGGCGTAACTGGTCACCTAGATGCTCTTGCTGAAGATTTCCTTGCCACCCAAGCAACGCCACTGCAGCACACCGGCCCTCCCGCCATGCCCGGTACGGGGTCGCCGGCAATCGCAAGGGCAGCGCCGGCGAGGGACGTGGGTGTGGCACCCAGCGCCGTATCCGTCCCACCGACAGCGGTTGTACGGGCTCTCGATCGCCTTGAGAACGCAGGCTTGAGCGATGCAGCTCGCAAAGTACGGCGCCTCGCGAGCCTGGAGCTGGCAAGACGGGAAATCAGGGAGCCTGTATCCGCTGACGAGGCAGCGGAAGTCTGGAGGACGGTGCTAGAGCGGCAGCTGGCGGCTCTGCAGGACGAAGAAGACAGCGAACAGCACCAGCCTCAGCGCCAGCAACGGCAGCAGCAGCAATTGCCGCAAGACCGGCGGCCGGCAGTCGCCACCCTGCAGAACGACCAACGGCACCCTGCCATAGGGAACGCACGCTGGAGTGCCGGCCTGAACCTACAGGGCCTTCCCGGCAGCAGCAGGCTGCAAGCATTTGGGGCAGCGTCAGCAGGCCTGGGAGGCCTAGGGGGACTGGGCCTCACGCTGGGGGGCAGTGGCGGGGACTTAAACAGCAACTCTTCAGTGCTGGGCCTCGGCCACCTACCCCTCGGCTCAGCACCGCCGTCCGCTCTGGGCCCCCTGGCGGCAACCGTTCAGCGTGAAGGGGCCTGGGCAGACGTGTTCGACCGCATCCCAGGCCTCAGCAGCCTGGTCTCGCTGGCGGACGTCAGCTTCGCATCCCGGGACCAGGCGACCTTCACGCACAAGGCAGACAGTCATCTCCGCTCCCTGCAGCATCTCGCGTCCCAGCTGGAAGCGGCCAAACACTGCGCATCCTCTTCGGAGGAGCTCTCGCTGCTCTTGGCCAAGGCCGCGCAGGTGTGGGAGGAGGCTTTTCGTACACAAGAGGTCCTCCGGCAGGTGCAGAATGCAGCCCGTGTCCTGCCCTTCAAGGACGTCATGGACGTATTCAGCAAGGGCTCTCCCCTCACACAGCAGTTCCTAGCCGCCCTGTCGCAATTTACGGACAGCCAGCGCCAGCACCTCTTCGGGAAGTTCGCCTCAGCCGCCGCTCCCGCGGCGGCTTACCCGCCGCCCCCGCCTCTTCCACTCCCGCCGGCCCCAGCACAGCCCCGTGCCCCACGCGACAACGGCTGCTTCTACTGCAAGAGGCCCGGACACAGCTACCGCGGCTGCCGAGAGTTGCGGTCGCTGGAACCTGGGGCCCAAACGGCAGCACTCGCAGAATGCGCCAAGCAGGAGCAGGCAGCCCGCCGGCCGGCTTAGGACGCGGCAGCGTCAGCTGGGGGCGAGGTCGCCCCGGCGCCAACGGCGCCCCCCCTCCATCCAGCCGCCGGCAGTACAGCCGGCGGTGGGGCAGCTGACGCAAATACGGCAGGGATGGAGACACCAGAAGGTAAGCGTGTACGCGACCTACGGCGGACTGGGGCCCTGCGCGGGTGACAAGCAATGTGCTGTTGCGTGTGTCCATGTGGCGCGACCCTGCCCGAGGGGAGAAGGGCCTGCCTGCGTCTACCTGCTGTCTAGTCTGTGGTGTACGCGACCTACGGCGGACTGGGGCCCTGCGCGGGTGACAAGCAATGTGCTGTTGCGTGTGTCCATGTGGCGCGACCCTGCCCGAGGGGAGAAGGGCCTGCCTGCGTCTACCTGCCGTCTAGTCTGTGGTGTACGCGACCTACGGCGGACTGGGGCCCTGCGCGGGTGACAAGCAACGTGCCGTTGCGTGTGTCCTTGTGGCGTTACCCTGCCCGAGGGGAGAAGGGCCTGCCTGCGTCCACCTGCTGTCTAGTCTGTGGTGTACGCGACCTACGGCGGACTGGGGCCCTGCGCGGGTGACAAGCAATGTGCTGTTGCGTGTGTCCATGTGGCGTGACCCTACCCGAGGGGAGAAGGGCCTGCCTGCGTCCACCTGCTGTCTAGTCTGTGGTGTACGCGACCTACGGCGGACTGGGGCCTTGCGCGGGTGACAAGCAATATGCCGTGGCATGCACCGGGGTCGTGTGGCTCTGCCTGAAGGAAGAAGGGCCTGACGGTGTTCGCATGTGGTTCAATCGGTGGTGTACGCGACCTACGGCGAACGGGGGCCCTGCGAGGGTGAACACCCAAAGCGTAACCTTGACCTGTGCCTCATGCAGTTTTGTGGATGCCTGACTCGGCGGCGGAAACGCCGTCGGCCGGCCGCTGGTTCGGCCCAGGGGGCGTGAAGCTTAATACGGCCGCGTGGCAGCGTCACGGCATCGACACGCCTGCGTCCCGTAACGAAGCCAGCTGGACCTTCCACACCACGCCGCCAACCTCGCACCACTTGCGCAACTACCCATCCGTGCGCGAACACAGCGAATGGTACGCCAGCCACATTGACGAGTTACTGCGCCAGGGCCTGGTGGAGGCGTACGACAGCAAGCAGCATGGCCCCCTGCGCAACTTTGCAGCCACTATCAACCCACTGCATGTTGTCAGCAAGGCGGATGGCAACCTGCGCCCGATCATCGACCCTACCGCTTCGGGGGTGAACGACTGCATGACCAAGCTCCCCTGCCCGCTGCCCGACCTCGCCTCAATTCTGGAGCATTTGCCGTTCCAAGGGGCGCTAGGCAAACGGGACCTCGCATCTGGTTTCCACCACATCAAGTGCAGCCCGGAAGCACGCCGGTACATGGCCTTTAGGCATCCCACCACGGAGGCAGTCCTGCGTTGGGTGGTGCTACCCTTCGGCGCCAGCCAATCGCCCCCAATCTTTGTGGAGTTAACCAACGCCGCGTGTGCCATCTTCCAAGCGGAGTGCGACCGGCGGGGGCTACGGGTCAAGCTCTTCTGCTTCGTCGACGACTACATCATCCTAGGGGTGACCCATGCAGACGTCGTTGGCGCCTTCGCGGTCATGGACGAAATAGGTGGCGAGCTGGGGCTGGAGTGGAAGACCAGCAAGGACCGCGGACGAAACGAGCACCTGCGGCAGCTCGACTTCCTGGGTATGCTGTTCGACACCGAGAAGATGGAGATGCGCATCTCGCCGGACAAGCGGCAGCGCTACGCGGCGGACGTGCGCGCCCTCCTGGACGCGGCAGCTACCGGACCAGTGCAGCGGCACCTCCTGGAGTCCACCGTCGGCCGCTTAACGTTCATAGCCCGGGCATGCCGCTGGGGTTTCACGTTCATGCAGGGCCTCTACGACAGCCTCTTCTGCCCCACCCGCCCGCCGGCCACTGTCGGCCTGGCGGCGGACGCAGTAGAAGACCTGGCTTTCTGGTGGCAGGTGCTACGGGCGGATTCCTCTGTCTGGGACGGGGTAAAGCGCTCAGCGGGCATCGGTTTGGACCTAGTGAGGGGGGAGTTTATCGGCCAGAATGGGGCCGTCCTCTTCACGGACGCTAGTGGGCGTGGGTTTGGCGCAGTCTGGGGGGAGGCGGAGGTGCAAGGGGCATGGTCAGAGGAGGAGCGTCAGCTGCACATCTCGTGGCTGGAGCTCAAGGCAGTCCTCAGAGCGCTGCAGTCATGGGCCGCCAGCCTTGCCGGGCGCCGGGTGCTGGTGCGTTGTGACAACACCCAAGCCGTAGCAGCCATCAACCACGGCTCCACCCGCATCCCAGAGGGCCGCAGCCTTAGCCGCCAAATTGCAGAGCTTGCGATTAGCTCAGGGTTCGAGGTCCGGGCTGAGCACATTCCCGGCGTGGACAACGGCCAGGCCGACCGCCTCAGCCGCCGCCTTGACAGCGCCCAGGATCAGAACCTGCGGCTGAAGGCCAGCATCTTCAGGGAGCTATGCCGCAAGTTCTCTCTCCGGCCCACCGTCGACTGCTGCTGAGACGCCCATGGCTCCAACCGGCAGCCCGGCTGTGAGGTGTTCTACAGCGCGGGGCGGTCGGTGCTTGGCCAGGAGGCCGAGCTGGCGGGCAAGGCGCTGTGGGCCTTCCCACCCCAGGCCCTGGTGGGGGAGGTGCTAGCGACCCTCGTGGCAGCGGCACGGCGTGACTCGCGGACGCGGGCGGTTGTGGTGGTGCCTTTCTGGCCGGAGCGGGGGTGGTTCCGGGCCTTCGTCCGTAGCCGATCCGCACCATTCCGGGTCGCCCAGGTGCTGCCCAGGGGCGGCCGCCTCTGCGTTTGGCCCTGGGGCGACGAGGCGGGTCCTTCTCCTTACGATATGCTGGTCTTACGCCTGCCCTGACCGAATTCCGATCCGCGTTTGCGCCCCCATGGCGATTGTAGAGGGTGGCGGGAGCTGCGAGGCCTGCATGCGGCGCACCTCCGTGGGGGACTTGCGCTGTGAGACATGCGACATACGGGCACATCGCCGCTGCCTGGGACTGCCGCCGGGCTCGTACCCCGGCGGCTGGTTCCGCTGCATCCACTGCATCCTGGCGGCGGCGGGTTTTCCGGCAGGGGCTGCGGGCGGTCGGCAGGAGGCACTCGCGGCGAGGCTGGTGGCGCTAGCGGGAAGCGCCGTGTCGGCGGGTTCAGCAGGGACGTACGAATCCCATCGCCGCCGCTACGCGGCCTTCTGCGCTGCTCTGGGCTTACCCATGAGGGCGGCTTTCCCACCTGCGCGGGGCGCGGACCTCAGCCCCGAGCTGGTGAGCCTGTTCATCGCCCATGAGGCCGACCGTGTGGCCCCCTCAACGTTGTCAGGCACCATTAGCGCCCTTGCGGACTGGCAGCGCGCGAAGGGTTTTCCGGCGGAGGCCTCCATCCGCCGGAACCCATTGGTGCAACGCACGCTGAGGCAGGCGTGGCGTGCCCGGGCGCCGGCGGCAGCCGCCACAGCTGGCGGCGATGCAGGGGCCGAGCCGCTGCCGCAACGTACGAAGGAGGCGTTCCCGGTGCCGCTTCTGCGGCTCCTATTGGGCTGGCTGGCAGCGACGGCGGACGGGGCGCCAGCGCGCCGAGCGGAGCTCGAGCAGGATGCGTGTTGGCTGGTGGTGGGTTTCTTTGGGATGCTGCGGAGAAGTGAGCTGGCGGGGCTGCGGCTAGGTGACGTGCATTCGCTGACTGGTGGGGTTCACGTGGTGCGGATAACGAGGAGCAAGACCGATCAGGTTGGGGCAGGGGTGGATGTGCACCTGGGGGCATCGTCTGGCAGCGGAGTACGCATCGGGCGCATTATAGGGCGCCACCTAGAGCGGGCCCGCTCAGGGGGGGCGGAGCCCAGCGCGCCGCTCTTCACGCGGGGCCCCCAGTGGGGACCGGGGTCGGAGGCTTGGCGGAAGGAGGGGTTTACGCGTAGGCTTAGGGCGCTCTTAGGAGAGATGCAGCGCGCCCTGCCACAAATAGCCGGGCGGGTACCAGATTACGCGTCCCACAGCCTGAGAAGGGGGGGAGCCACGGCTGCAGCGGAAGGGGGGGCCTCTGGAGAGCAGATCAAGGCGCACGGGAGGTGGCGGTCGGAGGCGGTGAGCGCGTATATCCTCCCCTCCGCGGCGGCTAAGGCCCGCATTGTGGGGTGCATGTGAGGTGACGAGGCGTGCGGTGGGTGACAGGGTAAGGGGGGTCCTCTCTAGGCGTGCATGCATGCGGAAGCGCGCCTAGAGCCTAATACGCCGGGGCGGGTTTTGGGGGCTAGAGCCCATCCGCGCCCGGCTGTTGGTTTTCCCCCTCTCCTGTTGTTCCCCGGAGAGGGTAGGGTGAGGTATCGGCTAGGTAGCAAACTTGGTTAGTTACAGAGTTGGGTCTCTTAGACGCTGTTCGGAGTCTGGGCCCGCAGGCCAGGTCCCAGGCGGTGTAAGGTGATGAGGGGTGCGACTCCTCTGGCACTGGAGTGTGTGCGACAAAACAGCCTGTTAGCAAGGAGGGGTAGGTTGTCCCACCTTTTGCGTCAAGATGATGCCTATTGTATGCCAATGCACAGCCTCTCTGCGGCTAACAGCACCTGGTCGCACAACTTCAGCAATGCTGTTGGGCTAGATTGGGGTTGGATCGGCGATTGAGGTTTGGGTTTGGTTCGTTGGATGCTTGCATGTTGGCGGCTGCTAGGTGTGGGGTCTGCCCGTACAACTGGTTCGTAATGACCCGCAAAAAAAGTCAAGCGCATTTCTTCGCTGTTGCCGCCATATGCGTAAGAAAGAGCACGACACCCAAAGCCATCGGCATGCCAAACCCTCAGGTTGAAAGGCAACTGCTACCCAGTGTACGATGTTTTCGTTCGCCCATGCCGCTGTGACCACAGGCCCTTCTCCCAGCAATAGCATGTCCGTGCAGTAAGCAGCCACAGCGGCGCATTCTGATGCAGCGGTGCGTGCATATCTCGGCTCGTTAGGAGTGGCCGTGGCTGTTTTTGCAGCCAGCGACACGTGTGGATTGTCAGTTTCGAACTGCGCGCTAACCCCATGCCTAAGCTCTGCATGCGGTGTGGCAGGGTCCAACATGCGCGCTCGTGCGCAGGCTTCCACAAAAACGCCATAACACCGGCGAAATTTGCCAATCCCCGCTTGACGCACTGCTGATACACCCACATCAACTCCGCGTTGCTGGAACAACAGCCAACGAAAGGCGTCAAAGAAGCAATCGCCAGAGCGATAGCCCACAGGATTGCGACAAAGGCCATGTCGGGCGAGGGACGCATCGAATACGCCAAACGAGCACGTCGTGCGATCCACTTTTCAGCGGTGGCCGTTGAACGAACGAAATGAATGAACGAACGTAAATGTGAACGTAGCGGGACGATGCCCACTTTTGGCTCTGCGGCACCCGCGGCAGCGGCAGCCTTTGCTAAGCTGTTTGTATTGAATTACAACTAAACTTTCTACATTATAGCAGAAATAGCAGCTTTACCAGTTCAGTTTCTTGCAAGAGGCAAGTCAGCCTTGAGGGAGGCACAACAAGAGCCAACTTATCCTTGGCTTATGGGCTAAACGTTGGTTCCAGCTTTACAACACTACAATGACATTGCTATGGAAATTACGAATCACCTAGACAAACCCGCCAACAGCACTTTCTTTCCGCCAATATGTACGACATTTGGGTCGTCTTCTGAGCTCTGAGCCTCTTACTTTTTCCGACATGCCGTTGTTTTAAAAACACAACACCAATTACTACGCCACCTTGTCCGACCGAATCTGAGACCTCGGTGCAGGTACATACAAACTGTACAAGGGTACACATAGGACATGCACACGGTACAAAAAGGACATAACGCCTCAGCTCGGACTATTTTGAGTGAACGCTAAGACTACGCCCCTAATCGCCAACCGACGTCGAGCACGGCCGTACGAGAAGCTATTGACCCAGCCGCGAAGGAGGTAGACTCATTAAATGTGTTATAACTTAGTTCTGCTGTTTGAAATCATCCCGTTACTGCAATCATACTTTGCGTGCCGCTCGTATGACTCAGTGCGTACCCAGCTGCACGTGCATGCAGGATATAGCCTAAACCGACGTCGAGCACGGCCGTACGAGAAGCTATTGACCCAGCCGCGAAGGAGGCAGACTCATTAAATATGTTATAACTTCGTTCTGCTGTTTGAAATCATCCCGTTACTGCAATCATACTTTGCGTGCCGCTCGTATGACTCAGTGCGTACCCAGCTGCACATGCATGCGGGATATAGCCTAAACCGACGTCGAGCACGGCAGTACGAGAAGCTATTGACCCAGCCGCGAAGGACGTAGACTCATTAAATATGTTATAACTTAGTTCTGCTGTTTGAAATCATCCCGTTACTGCAATCATACTTTGCGTGCCGCTCGTATGACTCAGTGCGTACCCAGCTGCACGAAGCTATTGACCCAGCCGCGAAGGAGGTAGACTCATTAGATATGTTATAACTTAGTTCTGCTGTTTGAAATCATCCCGTTACTGCAATCATACTTTGCGTGCCGCTCGTATGACTCAGTGCGTACCCAGCTGCACGTGCATGCGGGATATAGCCTAAACCAACGTCGAGCACGGCCGTACGAAAAGCTATTGACCCAGCCGCGAAGGAGGCAGACTCATTAAATATGTTATAACTTAGTTCTGCTGTTTGAAATCATCCCGTTACTGCAATCATACTTTGCGTGCCGCTCGTATGACTCAGTGCGTACCCAGCTGCACGTGCATGCGGGATATAGCCTAAACCGACGTCGAGCACGGCCGTACGAGAAGCTATTGACCCAGCCGCGAAGGAGGTAGACTCATAAAATATGTTATAACTTCGTTCTGCTGTTTGAAATCATCCCGTTACTGCAATCATACTTTGCGTGCCGCTCGTATGACTCAGTGCGTACCCAGCTGCACGAAGCTATTGACCCAGCCGCGAAGGAGGTAGACTCATTAGATATGTTATAACTTAGTTCTGCTGTTTGAAATCATCCCGTTACTGCAATCATACTTTGCGTGCCGCTCGTATGACTCAGTGCGTACCCAGCTGCACGTGCATGCGGGATATAGCCTAAACCAACGTCGAGCACGGCCGTACGAAAAGCTATTGACCCAGCCGCGAAGGAGGCAGACTCATTTAATATGTTATAACTTAGTTCTGCTGTTTGAAATCATCCCGTTACTGCAATCATACTTTGCGTGCCGCTCGTATGACTCAGTGCGTACCCAGCTGCACGTGCATGCGGGATATAGCCTAAACCGACGTCGAGCACGGCCGTACGAGAAGCTATTGACCCAGCCGCGAAGGAGGTAGACTCATAAAATATGTTATAACTTAGTTCTGCTGTTTGAAATCATCCCGTTACTGCAATCATACTTTGCGTGCCGCTCGTATGACTCAGTGTGTACCCAGCTGCACGTGCATGCGGGATATAGCCTAAACCGACGTCGAGCACGGCCGTACGAGAAGCTATTGACCCAGCCGCGAAGGAGGTAGACTCATTAGATATGTTATAACTTAGTTCTGCTGTTTGAAATCATCCCGTTACTGCAATCATACTTTGCGTGCCGCTCGTATGACTCAGTGCGTACCCAGCTGCACGTGCATGCGGGATATAGGAAGCCTAAACCGACGTCGAGCACGGCCGTACGAGAAGCTATTGACCCAGCCGCGAAGGAGGTAGACTCATTAAATATGTTATAACTTCGTTCTGCTGTTTGAAATCATCCCGTTACTGCAATCACACTTTGCGTGCCGCTCGTATGACTCAGTGCGTACTCAGCTGCACGTGCATGCGGGATATAGCCTAAACCGACGTCGAGCACGGCAGTACGAGAAGCTATTGACACAGCCGCGAAGGAGGTAGACTCATTAAATATGTTATAACTTAGTTCTGCTGTTTACAATCATCCCGTTACTGCAATCATACTTTGCGTGCCGCTCGTATGACTCAGTGCGTACCCAGCTGCACGTGCATGCGGGATATAGCCTAAACCGACGTCGAGCACGGCAGTACGAGAAGCTATTGACCCAGCCGCGAAGGAGGTAGACTCATTAAATATGTAATAACTTAGTTCTGCTGTTTGAAATCATCCCGTTACTGCAATCATACTTTGCGTGCCGCTCGTATGACTCAGTGCGTACCCAGCTGCACGTGCATGCAGGATATAGCCTAAACCGACGTCGAGCATGGCCGTACGAGAAGCTATTGACCCAGCCGCGAAGGAGGTAGACTCATTAAATATGTTATAACTTAGTTCTGCTGTTTGAAATCATCCCGTTACTGCAATCATACTTTGCGTGCCTCTTGTATGACTCAGTGCGTACCCAGCTGCACGTGCATGCGGGATATAGCCTAAACCGACGTCGAGCACGGCCGTACGAGAAGCTATTGACCCAGCCGCGAAGGAGGTAGACTCATTAGATATGTTATAACTTAGTTCTGCTGTTTACAATCATCCCGTTACTGCAATCATACTTTGCGTGCTGCTCGTATGACTCAGTGCGTACCCAGCTGCACGTGCATGCAGGATATAGCCTAAACCGACGTCGAGCATGGCCGTACGAGAAGCTATTGACCCATCCGCAAAGGAGGTAGACTCATTAAATATGTTATAACTTAGTTCTGCTGTTTGAAATCATCCCGTTACTGCAATCATACTTTGCGTGCCGCTCGTATGACTCAGTGCGTACCCAGCTGCACGTGCATGCGGGATATAGCCTAAACCGACGTCGAGCACGGCAGTACGAGAAGCTATTGACCCAGCCGCGAAGGAGGTAGACTCATTAGATATGTTATAACTTAGTTCTGCTGTTTACAATCATCCCGTTACTGCAATCATACTTTGCGTGCCGCTCGTATGACTCAGTGCGTACCCAGCTGCACGTGCATGCAGGATATAGCCTAAACCGACGTCGAGCACGGCCGTACGAGAAGCTATTGACCCATCCGCGAAGGAGGCAGACTCATTAGATATGTTATAACTTAGTTCTGCTGTTTGAAATCATCCCGTTACTGCAATCATACTTTGCGTGCCGCTCGTATGACTCAGTGCGTACCCAGCTGCACGTGCATGCGGGATATAGGAAGCCTAAACCGACGTCGAGCACGGCCGTACGAGAAGCTATTGACCCAGCCGCGAAGGAGGTAGACTCATTAAATATGTTATAACTTCGTTCTGCTGTTTGAAATCATCCCGTTACTGCAATCACACTTTGCGTGCCGCTCGTATGACTCAGTGCGTACTCAGCTGCACGTGCATGCGGGATATAGCCTAAACCGACGTCGAGCACGGCAGTACGAGAAGCTATTGACCCAGCCGCGAAGGAGGTAGACTCATTAAATATGTTATAACTTAGTTCTGCTGTTTACAATCATCCCGTTACTGCAATCATACTTTGCGTGCCGCTCGTATGACTCAGTGCGTACCCAGCTGCACGTGCATGCGGGATATAGCCTAAACCGACGTC